GCCCCCCCCCCCTCTGCGGTACCCGACAAGCACAAACAACACACTCTACCAAAGTAACAACAGACCGAGCGTATTCCCAGTAGAAGTAGCAGTGGCCTTGTCGGCAGCAACAGCAGTGGCCCGACCGACCGCAGCAGCAGCAGCGACCTCGGCCGCAGCAGCTCACTTGGTTTGGCTCGTCTAGGGGTGTCTGAGCAATGAGGCTTGAGAGATGCTGCTGCTGCAGCGGCCCTAAGTCCTCCACTTCAAGCAGTGCCAGCCAAATACGGCACCGCAGCTTGGGGGGGAATCCATTTTTAAATAACCGTAGGCGAGCAATGAGACGTTCCTTTGCTGCGGCTGCTGCAGCTGCTGCTTCTGAACCTGCCACCTTGCATGCTCCTGCAGCTGCTGCCGCTGCTGCACTGGCTTGTGCAGTATCCACTCTCGCATTCCGGAAAGCACTAGGACCTGACGCCTCGGTGGCATTCAGTTCTGCTGCTCCTGCCTCCTGTGCTGCTGATGCTGCTGCTGCTACTGCTGTTGTTGCTGCTGTTGCTGCAGCCGCTCCAGATTCGCATTTGTTCGCTGCATCAGCAACAGAAGATTCGTCTTCCGAGCTTTCGGCCTCTTGTCCCGCTGTGGGGACCTCATCCAGAGGCGGTAGCATTGACCCCTCAGCAGCAGCAGCAGCTGCTGCTGCTGCTGCTGCGGCTCCTGAACGCGCGCAAGCAAGTCCATGTTGCTGCTGCACGCAGTTGCTTCCGAAGCTTCCCGAAGCCCCTAAAGTATCTTCTCTCAAGTGCATAGGCAGCGTCAGTTCCGTGCTGCTACTGGACCTGCAAAGGACAGCATCCGAAGGAGTGTCTTCTAACGCCTCCTCTACCTCAGCATTGTGGAGAGATTGCTGCTGTACTTGTGGTAGCTGCTGCTGCAGTAGCTGTTGCCGGTGAGCTCCTTGGGCGTTTCCACCCTGGGAGGGTACCGCACGAAGCGCAGAAGCAGTGGCAACAGCAACGCACTTGCTAGAGGTGAGAGAAGGAACTCTGCTGCTGTTACGAGGGGTAGGCCGATCGCCCGCTGACACAATCTGTAGACGCTGCAGCAACGCCTCCAGCTCTGCGTCCCCGTCTGCAGCAACTGCAGCACCAACAGCAGCAGATCCAACGGCTTCCAGGCCACGTCCGCGCGCCACATCTTCTTCGGGTGTTGCAGTCCGTGGCAGCGCTGCCTCTGGTGTTGTCTCGGTGGCTGCTCTTATGTTGTTGCTGCTGCTGAGAGACGATCCTACAAGGGACTCCTCCACTGGAGAGGGCTTTTGTGATTTGCTGTTACTGCTGTTGAGCCTGTCTCCGCGAGTATCAGTACCTCCCTTTTCGGCCTCTGGCTGCTGCTGCGGTTGGTGCTGCTGTCGTTGTTGCTTTTGTTGCTGCTGCTCCCGTCCCTGTTGCAGCTCCTGAGCGTCAGGTGCGTGTCCAATAATCAGCTGGTTTAAAAGAAATAAGGGAGGAAGCATGCAAGTTCGGCGTGGTAGCCCCAACTGCTGCTGCTCCTGCTCCTGTTGCATACACGCAAAGCCGCTGCTATCCTCTCCTTTGCCAACTGTTGAGTCATTCTTCATTTTGCTGCCGTTGCTGCTGCTGCTGTTGCTGCTCTGGCGCCCTCCAACAGCGCAGCTACCCACTGCCCAGGTAGTCAGGGTGCCGCTGCCCATGAGAAAGTTGTTGCAGCTGTTGCTGCCATTGATGGCTTCTGCCAGGCTGCTGCTGCTGCTGCGGAAGCAAGCATCTTGCTCCTTCGTGCTGGTGGGGCTGCTGCTGCTGCTGCTGCATGCCTCAGCAGAAGGCAGCGATTGTCCCAAAAAAGGGTTATCAAGAGGCAAATGCTTCGATGCTGCTGCTGCTGCTAACGCTGTGGGAGGAGCTCCACCACCAGCTGCAGCAGCCGCTTGCCCTCCTGCTGCTACCTAGTCACTACTTGGGTACCAGGTAGGCCGCTTTAGAGATCTAATTGAAAAAGAAATAGAATTATTACTATATAGGAGTATTATGTATGTAAATTCGACTTTGGGGGATGGCAGTTATAGGTCAGGCTCCTGACTGTGTCGTCACCGTTGGTATCCCCCGGCCATCTTGCAGGTTGGGCGCTGACACCCAGCCAAGACAGGGGTCATTTCAGAACACAGTTTCTTTATTCTATATACTCATCCCTTTGTTAACAAATGTAATCTTACGTGAATTGGAACTTGCAGCATTCTGATTCCCCGGGATGGTCGTAAGACCATCCCGGGGCATCAGAATAGCTGGTTTCGTAAGCAGTTCTCGCACGAGCCTAGTGAAGCTGGAAAGTATGAGTGAACGCCCAGTTAGACAACGTACCGTTATAGTGGGAGGTTTGTGTAGTGATCACCTGACTGTGTATAATAGTATGCGTAAAGACTGATACAGATGCAGATATATTTGCTTCTGCGATTGAATGGAGGAGGCACATGCACGAAGTATGTACGGCGCAGACAGTTTACGCATCCAGTAATTGCGTGCTTGTCTATGAGGCGCAGCACTCTGCACGTTCTTGCATATCCAACCACAATCAACAAACCGTTGCATTTCCATCTGTTCTGTGCATTATTACTCTCCGATCACAGGCAGGGGGATGTGTTCAGGTTCCGATCTTTGGCCAGTGTAGGAGAGCAGCTAGGAATTTGAAATTGTCATTGATTATTTTCCGTGAAACTTCAGAACGGCTACCAATCCAGATTGTCCTTCACAAATGAAGGAGCACTGACATCTCTTAACAGAAACGTGGTGTAATTGCCGGTATTTACAGGCAGGGAATGCACTGACAAAGAATACCTGCTCGTCAAGTTGGCGACAGTATGTTGCACGGAGAACAGAACAAAAAGCAACCGTGTCACCCCCCCTTCAGCCTGACCGGTCATGTTGCAGCGCAGTCCGTCTGCAGTTTGTAGATGCATTTACACTTGCAAAGGGGCTGGCTAGAAAGATCAAGGAAAGTGTCTAAACGATCACCGTCGGTGTCCTATTAGTACGTGCACCGAAACTGGCACCAAAGGGGTCACGGTCGGGTGTGAATTCGCTCGGCTCGTTGCACTATTTGTAGCAAGGAGTGATTTAACTCGTGAAAGGCGGCAATCTGGTCTTTGTTAGGGGCTTCCCCCCACTACATTCCCGTCGTGTAGAGCTTATAAAGGTGTCATTAGGGTGCGAAGGCACCCTCTCCCCCCTTCCTGGAGTATGAAAGGCTGCTGGACTTCATGAAGTCCAAGATGATGAAGTAGGCGGATCTGGCGTAGACGTGAGGATTTGGTTGCGTGCATCTCGCTGCTGCTTGTGTTGGCGGCGTTTCCAGGCTCAGACCAGTTCCGGACAACCTTCAAGGTGGTGCGCTGGCTCCCATGTTGCGTTTTCCTCAGGTGCGCCTCTCCACTTCACAAGATAGCTGGCGGAGGCCCCCCTACCCCTCTGGTCCATGATATAATCCACCAGAAATTGATCAGTTGGATTACCGGCCGCATCAGGAACTGGTGGCCAACCCACCGGAGCTTCTCGAGGTACTTGAATCTTCTCTCGCTGCCGATGTGGTATCAGCTGAGATACATGAAAGACGTTATGCCCCGCATACGAGGCGGGCAAGGCAAGACGGTAAGCAACCTTTCCGATGAGCTCCGTCACCGAGTATGGCCCCCTATATCGGGGCTCGAATTTAGAACAATCGTTCAGGGCCGGTAGGTGTTTGGCACTAAACCACACCTTGTCTCCAACTTGGTATTCTACTTCCCTCCGTTCAGTGTCCGCGTAGTACTTCTGCCTCCATTTTGCTCTCAGGATGTGTCCTTGTGCGCGGTCACAGAGCTGCCGGAAGGTTCTAGTCATCGGTGGTGACAATGTGGGAGGAAGGGAACCGAGGATGTCCAGGTCTGCCACGGTTATTCGGTTCTCCCCTATCATAACCTCGAACGGAGACAGCTCCGTCGAGGAGTGATGAGTAGTATTGTAGGCTAATTCCAATGCTGGTAGCAATCCTTCCCATTCCTTCTCATTGGATTTTATGTATGTTCTTATCATCTGTTCCAGAGTCCTATTCACCCTCTCCGTCTGCCCATCCGTTTGCGGGTGATAGGGGGAGGATTTCGCTCGTTTGATGTTGAAACGCGCGCAAAGGTGAGTCCATATCTCCGATTGGAATCTTGGGTCCCGGTCCCAGATCAAGATGTCTAGGAAGCCATGGTAGCGAATCAGACGATCCGCTAGAAGGGTGACACTGTCCGCTACTGACGATGCCTTCCTTGTGGGAATAAAATGAGTTATTTTACTGAGGGTGTCGACCAGGACGAGGATAGCGTCGTTTCCACAAGCTGTTTGAGATAAGTCGGTAACACAATCAAGACGTGCATGACTCCACCTTCTTGGTGGGATCACTAGCTGTTGTAATAGGCCTGCAGGTTTCTGATTAATTGACTTAGACGCCCGACACTGTGCAGCACTCCACATAGGCGTTCGTATATGTTCGCATACCCGGCCAATAATAATGCCTGCTGATGGCCTGGTACGTCTTCTTTTGACATCGATGGCCTGCTGTCATATGATCATAGTGCTTGTACAGAATGTATGTCAAAAATTCCGGAAGCTGCGGAACGCAGATCAACCCGATCCCGCTGATGTTGATTTGCAGGTAGGGGAATCTATAGCGGAAACTATACCGACGATGTTGGATATCCTGTTGTACAATGCGTCCTGCCTGTTGAGCTGCCGGCTGGTAGGGACCGCTGAAGGTCTGGCACTTAGCATATGCTGAGGGCCAGTCTAAAGTGTATGCTGTGGATTGGGTGGGCTGCTGTTTGTCTTGAGGTTGTTGTTCGCCCTGTGTCGTCAGGTCTTCGGCAGGTTGCTCCTCATTTGTTAGCTGCGGTCCGCCTTGTAACTGCACCTCGTCCTCAATCTGTGGTAGGTCCTGAGGATGTAGAAGTTCTGGTGTCTGCGGTATGTCTTGTGGTTCGTTGCAGGATGGCTCCGTCTGCCTCCTTCTGGTGTGATCAAGAGGGATACCGGCGAGCTTCCGGTAATCCGTCTGTCTACCCCTGGTCTTGGTAGCTGGTCCCAGTGGATCTCCGCCGGATACCATGACCGTCAACGATCCAGGTTTGGGTGTAGTGGATACATCTTGGGATGATTTGTTGTTAGTCCACAGAGTTGTGTCTTGTGCTTCGTATGCAGGGTCCCGAGGAACTCGAGAGAGAGCGTCCTCAACCTGGTTACTTGATCCTGGCAAGTAGGTGATGGTGAGCTTCGGGAATTCAGCAAGGAAATCCAGCCATCGAGCTGCGCGGCCGCGTAGTGGCTTTGATGGTTTGGGTTGTTGAAGGTGATGAATGGATAGACTCCACAGCAGCACTAGCAACACCTCACATAATCCCAGAAGTTCTGAGAGAATATCGCAGGGTCTTCCCTGACCAGTTGCCACCGGCGTTGCCTTAGTACCTAGAAAGTTGCCCTCCAAATCAGCAATCTACCGAATGGCTCCTGAGCAACTGCAGGCACACAAACAGGAAATAGCAAGACTAACGGCCAATGGATGGATAGGCCCGACTTTCTCACCGATATGTGCCCCAACCATTATGGTGGATAAGAAATCGGACGGGTCGGGGGACAAAAAGATGAGGATGGTTGTTAACTACAAAGAGGTAAATGCTCTCACCATAGCCCCCGACTTCCCACTACCCCCTATCGCCACCATCTTGGAAATGCTGGGAGGAGCTAAGTATTTTTCTTCGCTGGATCTTGAATCTGGCTATCATCAGATTAGGATGGCAAAGGAAGATCGCTGGAAGACAGCATTTCGGTCCGTACTTGGGCTATTCGAATATAAGGTAATGCCCTTCGGGTTGAAAGGGGCGCCTGCAACTTTTCAAGCAAACATCAACACCTATCTACAACCGTTCCTAGGCCAAGGGGTAATAGCATATTTGGATGACATATTGATATATAGCCCTGATCTCCCCAGTCATGCGGAACTACTACGCAAGGTGTTGGGCATTCTTCTGGCAAATCACTTCTACCCCAAGTTCAGCAAGTGTGAGTTTGCCAGAAGAGAGCTCACTTACCTAGGATATACCGTCAGTGCTGATGGCATCAAACCAGCTGCAGACAAGATCTCCGCGGTACAACAGTGTCCTGAGGTATTGGAGAATGATACCCAAGTGCGGCAGTTCCTAGGTACGGTGAATTACTGTCGCATGTTTATGGGGGCCGACTATGCGAGAGTGGCCCGCCCTTTACTCGACCCTACAAGAAAAGGGGTCCCCTTTCGGTGGACTGAGGCACACACACACGCAGTACGCGAACTCAAACAGAAACTCATTGACTACACCACGCTCCAGATACCCGACACCACCAAACCCTTCAGCCTTTACACCGACTACGCTCTAGGGGCGGTACTGGAAGAGGAGGGTAAACCGATTGGGTTCCTGAGTCAGACAATGAGCCCAGCGCACATAAGGTACTCTATATATGACCAGGAATTATTGGCCCTAGTTACCGCACTAGACAAGTGGGCTCATCTACTGCGGACATCGGAAGTGACAGCTTATACTGACCGCCAGGCCCTAACTAACCTACAACAACTCAAAGCTTCAAAACCACTACGCGGCCGCACAGCACGATGGCTCGATTTCCGGGCAGAGTTCCCCAAGCTCACCATCACCTACTTGCCAGGATCCAGTAACCAGGTAGCGGACGCCCTGTCTCGAGGTCCTCGGGACCCTACATGCAAAGCAGAAGATACGACTCAGGGGGACAACAATCCATCATTCCAAGATATATCAACTGCACACGAACCTGGGTCATTGGTGGTCATGGTGTCCGGCGGAGACCCACAGGGGCCAACTACCAAGACCAGGGGAAGGCAGAAAGATTACCGGAAGCTAGCGGGTATTCGTGCTCTTCACATTAGAAAGGGGAAGATGGAGCCATCCTGCAAACAACCACAAGACATGCAGCAGACATCCGAACCTTCACATCCGCAGGACCTATCACAGTTGGAGGGTGAGGAACAGTTACAAGACGAACCGCATCTAACAGATGAAGAGCAACCTGCCGAAGACTTGGCGACACAGGGCGAACAACAACCTCAAGACAAACAGCGGCCCACCCAATCCGCAGCATACACATTACACTGGCCAACAACGTATGCTAAGTGCCAGACCTTTAGCGACCCCTACCAGGCGGCAGCTCGACAGCCAGGACGCGTGGTACAACAGGATTTCCGGCATCGAAGATATGGTGAAAGGTTTCGCAGCACACACACCACGGGAGGCGACCTCCTGTAGCACCACAGGAAGTGTGAACTAGCTCGATGTGGGTTAGATCCAGTGATTCCCGCTTCCCTTCTAGAGGGAGTTGAGCTAACTATGTAGTAACTCCAGTCGTTGAGCTGCCTGCCACACTCAGTAACTGAGAGTGATTGGAACAATACAGCTTGGAGAGTTTTCGTACCAGAGTGTGGACTATTCCAACTATGTGCTCCACCTGCTCTTCAACAGTCTTGGAAAACGTCTGATTGTGCTTTTCCACTCCATGGTATCGTCTAGACAACAGTGAAAAAGGTCCTCTTCGTAGCCCAGTATGCGCCTCTTAGCAGTAGGTAATTTCTTCGCCTGTCCCGCATGTAAGCCCAAACGCGGACTCCTCCAGAGTTTCCCAACTCTTTAAAAAATCTTGAAAGGTATCTCAATGGATTGCATAGTGTTCCTACCATCGGTGAGAGGCATAGATAGCACTTATATGGTTGCATGTGGAAGAGGGTGCAATGAGCACTTCATGTCTTCTCCCAGTTTTGGTACAGCACCCGAAGCGATACAGTGAAGCATCCATCAAGTATAAAAATGCCCATAGTTTTTTCAAACATCATAGTTTTTAAGAGTGGCATGAAGTTAATAATAAGAATTGGACAAATGCACAGCACGTCTCGATATAAACCATGCAGTGATTGACCCAAACTACATGTATTCAGATTGCCAAACGAAGCGCATCAGCAGCATGCCCGGGCACTATCTGAGATTTCGTATGAAACAAATCTCATCAAAATTCGTTGGTAACTTTCCGACGACGGAATTTGTTTTAGTACTGTGCTGGTATCTTCGAGTGGCTTTCCTGTTCTACGCCGAAATGCTGTTCTACTGTACATGTGTGGGAGTTTATTTGTTAGTTTACCCGGTAGGCATGAAGCTGAAAATTTGCTTAGACAGAGTGCAACACCATAGAAATACAAGGTCAAATAATAGGAAGGCCAGGTCCATGGACTAGAGCCTGAAGTTAGGCATTGACTTTAATCCCAGATGGCTTTACCATAATGTATTCTCGAGGTGTCATGAGCGCAACGGGCTGAAGGGCACTCAAGAAAGTTAGCCACGCTTCGGTTATGACCCGTTGCTTTTCTTTGTTCAACGTTATAGCTGCTAGAACTGGTTGCCACAATTGTGTATCATGTAGGAGTGCTCGGTCCCTAGAGTATGGAAAGAGCGTGGCACACCAACAAGTAATCACCCTATTTCATTTGGCCAGTTGCTGACTGATGGATTGGTTGGAGAAATACAAAGGCTTTTTTTGGAGGCATTGAAGAGAAGCTGGCCACGTAGCTACTGCAGAAACTGCAGGCTACGAGAGCTGAAATTCTGTTTGCCACATGTGATGAATATTTTTATTGCACATTTTTGTGCCCAGCTGCTACTAACACTGAATAGCTCACTCAATCAAATTTCTTCCTCTTCCTGGTGTTTCATTTTGGACAACATGTGTATCCTTCCTGAGCCTTGGCCTTCCATGACCCCTAAACATCTCCCTACAGTCGTGGCTTTCCTCGCGCTGTCCCTGAGGGTTATGGCCTCTTGTATTGCTGAAACTGCAGTGAAACGTGTTGGCTGACACTAGCTGAACCTTTTTGCCTCACATTACAACCCGTGTGGTTGGAGTGGAAAACATGCGATTCGAGAGTTTCTAGCAACTGCCGTCGGTTTCAAGTCGTTGTTACTATCCTGTTGCACTAGGGACCGACAAGTCGCCTCCCGAATTCATATGCAGAGTTGCTTTTAGAGTAACCTCACGAATTTAGGACCACTGTAGCACAAAATACTTTTTTCATGGAATACAAGTGCGTATTAGTAGCTGGCACCGACGGAACGCCCAGGGAGGACGATCCAAAATGCATTGAGTAAAAGACTAGATTATCCTAGAGAAGTGGCATATGACACCTCACGCAATTTTTGGTGCACCCTCTTCCGTTGTTTGTGTCGGGCAATTGGAATTAACGGATAGATAAGGGTTACAACGCTATTCTATGAGTACTGCGTACTCACAGGTAACCCCTACGATGTGGTCAATACCTACCCAGAACGCGTTGCACCGTACGCCCCAAGACTACCATATTCTGCCGCGAATAAGGCAATGACACTAGATTCAAGTATATCATGCTCACAGTGTGCATTTCTACTTATTGAAGTTGCCGCGGAGAGCTATAGAAATTGTGGCACCTCACAGTTCTTGGATGACTTCTCTCCAAATTTTAATCGTATGTCACTTCAGATTCATGGACTGGAAAGAAATCCCCAACTGACGAGAGTTTTTGCTCGTGCGTATTCTCGTGGTCGCTGAACTTGCATAACTCATTATGATGATCTTGCACGGGTTAGTGAGAGTTATCTTGGGCGCTACTTGCGGGTTTTGAATGCAACTGGCAGCAACATTTTGTTGATGCTTGGAACTAACTGTTGTGCTTAAAGTAATGCTAGCAACAACATAACTGCGGCGACGCTCTAGCTCTAGAGATCCTTGGTGAATTCACGTGTTGAACAGATGCGCTGGCAATGAAGCGTCGTTGGAGCTGGGTCCGGTGTCTCCAGGACCGCAAGCTGCGCATCAGACCATCTGCGTAAATTGCCTTTAATTTGACTAAACATCACTGTTGCATTCCATGCTAATTCAGTGGTGGGAAATTTGTGTAGGCGTTTTCATATGAGGACGCTTCTGTTGACAGAACGGGCTGGGGCTCCGAGGCCGCCGCTGCACAGCCGCCCGCCAGCTCCTCTGCGTCACCGGTGCCCCCTTGCTAGCTTTTGCAAGTTGACAATATTGATGGCAATTCTTTGGATCCCAGTCACGAAGCCTTCGAGCACATTAGCCAGCCGAGGGAGCTGTATATTCTGCCTTGCGGGGGTAACTGCATGTGGAGGGGCGGCCAACCCCTGGCCCCCTAATGGACGAAGCGCTCGCCCTCTGATTGGCTGTACATTTGAATAAATTAGGGGGCCTCAACAGTGCTTCTGAAGGAGCCACGGGGGAAACCCCACGAAGCGCAGGAAGGGCTTGAGGGGGGCTCGCCTCATTGTCCGCTGGGGCTATACCTGTAGAGGGGTCTTGCCACTTCCATCGTTGCGCGTTTCACTGTTTTGTGCCTACCAATCACTAAGAAGAACCCTGGTGAGCAAGGAGTTCGGTGCTGGGTGGCCCTTCAGCTTAACGAGACAGCCAAGCCGCGTGGGTACTCGACACCAGCAACGCTTGCAAGAGGCAGCTTGTGTCATGACATGCTGAGTAGAGCAGGCATCTCTAGGTGCCATGATTTGCTCTTGTCTTGCAAGGCGAGACCAGAGTCTTCGTTTTTTAAATTTGTCTGTGTTGTTGCGGTTTCCTCGTTGCCCTCTCCGACTCCCCAAGACTCCTGCCATTGGCGGGTCGGACAACACCGGGCATTCCCCGGGGTTGCAGAGGTAGACCAGCGCTCCCTTAGTTGACCCTCTGGCTTGCTTCGCCAGTATCTGTAGGAATGGAAGAGGAACGGCGCGACTTCGGCGTCGTCCGTGCGACTGTCACGGAGACTCTTGCAGCGGCCGCAGCGCAGGCTGCTAGCCAGCACCCAACGGATCGTGTAGATCCGGTTATTACTCCAGATCCAGAGAAACTTCAAGAAGGTCGACAGCAGCAGCAGTATGATAAGCCACCTGACGAAAAGATTGTTCAAGGGAGTAGCGTCGACTCTCAAGAAGGCGTTTACCCTCCCTCGACGCTGAACGCACCACAACCGGTGCGTTCAGTAGTTGAAGAACCTGCGACAAGTGAAGATAACGGAGCTGAGAACGTGAATGTGGTTGGAGGCCGTACATCAGGCAACGACGGGACAGCAGTCACATCCGGAGAAGTGGGGGCACTGCCTGTCGAAGGGGAGGCTGGGAATGACGCCAATCCTACGGAACAGTCAGAAGTGGGGGCGACCCCAAATAGAATCGTGGAGACGATGACTGAGGGAACAGTTGCAGAACCAGACGGCCTTCCAGTTGATTCTGGGGAGCCTGTTGCAGGGGTAGATGAGGTCGGCGAGGCGGCTGAGGCGGAGAGCGATGGCAAGGAAAGCAACGACAGCGTTTGCAACGAGTGCGGAGGTGGAGGAGAAGTTGTGTGTTGCGATGGATGTGTCAAGTCTTACCATGCAGACTGCCTGCCTGTAGTGGCCAGGCCCCGACTACGGGCCAATGCTGACGACTGGTTTTGCCCAGACTGTGCTGCGACGGCTGTGGCACCGCAGCCGACTGCGACCGCTGTTCCGCCGAGTGTTACTGTCAAGCTGCCTCAGGCTTCATCAGATCCTCGTGGGTCTAAACAGAATATTGCATCAGCCCCCCCGCCAGTGTATCCCCCTCCTGCCCCAGCCGCTCCGTGGGCCCCGGTGCCGTCTTGCGTCCCAACCAGGCGGAGAAAGACCAAAGCCACAGAGGACTACGAAACCCGAATCAACGTCGGGCCAAATCACCAGGTGAGTCATCTTGGGGCTTTCTTGACGCAACGCAGTGCAGTGACAACCACATGGGCACTTTCCTCTCGAGTTGGCGCGTGCATCAATGTCCCCTAGGGCCCGCATGGCCGCCCCTCATTTAATCAGACCGAAACAACCGTGTGACCGTGCTGCCTCAGGTACCCCATCTCCCCGATTTTTTCTTGGCGCGAGGAGACAGCGACTGTCTTTCGACTCTTGCAGAGCAATCCCTAACTGACGGAGCGCAGAGTCAGGCGTTGGGGCCCTTGCTTGTCTATTCCCCTTACCTTATGGAGCGTTCAAAGCAGCAGTGCTTGGCTGAAAGAGCCACAAAATCATGCATTACTTCGCAGAAGGACCTGGCTGAGTTTCTTATTAAGTGAGTTCGAGACGGTTTGTCGTAACCCCTCGTTCACCTGGTGGCACCCCATTCTCCCTCTGGAAACCGCACTTCCGTATCCGTTACATCGCATGCACTGGTGCGCCTTTTCATTGGAGGTTAGACGTGTTGTGTTGGTTGCTGCGCCTCTGCAGGTGCTCCAAAAGGTGGAAGGTCCGCCCTGGGTGGCAACCTTTCTCGCCAGAGTTTGCTTACAAGCTGCTACATCGTGCCAACTACGATCCTGAAAGAGCTTTACGGATGATGGATGATTCTGCATTTTGGTGAGGTCGACACTGAAGGCACATATGCAAACTCACGTTCATAGTATGTCCTTCAGTTAACCACGGCGATGCGCACACTACAGCAGGGCAATGGTTTTGTGGGTTTTTGCAGCTTCCAAAGCGTGTGCGACCCACCGCTACGAAAGTACGAGAACAAATGGAAGCGTAGAGACAAACGTGGCACGTTTCCGAGCTCGCCGTATCCTCCGCCAGTAGTGGTGCGTGGTTACCTCAACGAGAAGCAGAAGCAGCTACGCATGGGCCGGTGATAAACGAGCAAGGAATATTGTTTCTTTGGAGAAACGAGCCACAAGTATATCAGGTCAGGGGGTCGAGGCCACACGCTGTGGCTCACGGCCCCCTCAGTAGTACTGGAACGTTGGGAACTGCCGCGTCTACCCACACATTTATAATATTCAGGCCTCAGCCGCTCTTGGGGGTTTGTTCTCCTCAAGTCCCCCCGAAAGGGATATGCCGCATACGGGTTGGATGCTGGGGTGCGAAGGACGGCGGGTAGTTTGAAAGGGAAACTTTCTCTTGCTGCTGGTCGCCCTGTATTGAAGCATGCCAATTGAACTGTCGCCCCCCCTCGCTTGGGCGAACGACCCCGCACCTTAACTTTCGGATGCCGTGGCCACAACCATAGCCTCAAAAATCTTTGAGGGCACGTGCCCACTTGTGAACTGTATTGCCAAACTGCGCGGGCATTGATGAAGTACTCTTGACAGTGTCTGGTACTGGCAGCGCTGCGAGAACTATAGCCTATCTATCTCAGCCACCTGCGGTACTGTATATCGTTTTCATGCGTACACGATAGTTACAAGCATTAGTACTATTGCTAGCTTTCCGTATATCACTTAAATCGGGGGGAAACTTGGGACAAAGTGGCGTGTACATGGCAGCAAGAACATTACATAAAGGGGTTTTGATGAAAATGTTCCATTCCCAAGTACCCATACGGGTTCCACCTAAACTAGGGTTGACTTCGGTTGCTGACCGAACAGCCATCTACGCGACTGCCCTTAGAAGAGACGGAACTGCTTGCGCACATTGCCGAAGACTTGGTTGCTTTCGACTTTAAGCACGTTAAAGCGAATAGTCTTCGACAGGGGCCTGTACGCAACAGAAACACGATACCCCCGTAATTACTCGGTCGTCAAGGCAACTGGCAACTGCTGGAAAGGTCTAGCATACGCACAGGAACACTGCTGAGCTTGTTATGGGAGACTCACCTGCACTGCCCAGCAGTGACGATATCACCTTCTTTGACTTGCTCGAAGCATGGAGAGAGATGGCAAGTCACGTTCTTATGACGCTTCTCAACACGATTGTACTTCCTCACAAAGTGCAAGTAAGTGCGGCGAATCACTACACACCGTTTCATCTTGGCAGAAATCACCATCCCCCTGAAGGAATCGCAAACAATAAAAAAAGAGAATGCCTGTTGTCACAGCCGACGTCGACAATATCTGGGAAGGGAGATATTGCCTGACCACGCGCCCTCGTCTGCTGCACACCCTAGCTGATGCAACCTCATCCTCGATTTAATGTAAGGTTCCGCAACTCACGTCCCCAATACACTGCATTTCAAGGGCCCCTTCACCAATGGAAATGTGTGAGCTTGTATGGGCGCCCCTCAGTGTGCTTATTTGCGACAGTTCAAAAAGTATGCAGGTTACACTTACTTGATGATGCGACCACGAATGGAGACGTTTCCAGTAAAGGGGCACTTCTTGTCTATGTATGTGCCTTCCTTTGCCAAGCGAGGGGTGGCGAAACCCAACCCTACCTCCTAAAGGCAACGGAACAATAGCACAAAACATCCAGCAAATATGATAGAAAGCGCCGACAGCCACCAGCCAGGGCAGCGCAGCAGCTCGATTCACTGCAAGTGGCGGCGTACCCTCCAATATCTCGCCTTTCCCCTTCTCTTCATAGACTGGGCAAGGGCCAGCTGAGAGGCCCCATGCTGCCGCTGGAAGGCCTTCTCTGTCTGCAACAACAGCACAAGAACGAGTATCCATGTTCCCTGCTTCCCATCCACTCTGCTACCAGGTATTCAAGAATGTCCCTGCTCCCTGATCTTCTCGGACACGCATTTGTAGGAAAATTGTCTTTTTTATAACCCCCACAGTTGAGAAATGCAGATTTGCGGTTCTGTGGGGAGAGGGCCAGGTGGACCAACAGACGTTCGAAATCATCGTTGGGTCATATCACCCGCATTATACAATACAGCATCACCTCAAATAAAAACTGCTCATGCATGAGGATGAGGAAAACCTCGCAGGGTACAACTCATTGCAATCTCACGTCACTCCGCTGACGTCGAGTGTCCCACCGTTCCACCATGCAACATACACGAGCGCTCTATATACCAGCTTAACATGTCTTGGTAAATCATACTCATTTAGCCTTTCATATGATCAAGCAATGACATACATGCCCCAATGGGTGAGCTCATCAGTCGTGGGAAGCGCGGGTCTCCTCATAACATACCTGCACATCTTGCTGAGTTGCCGACATCGTCCACTTCCAGATCTTGGTCTGTTCCTTGTAGCTGGGCCCAGCATTAAATACTATACGGCGAAAAGAAAGCCAACTTCATCAGTCCTCAGATTCCTACCTTCACCAGCGATTGTTACAGCCCCCACAGCTAAGGGTGCGCTGTCCAGCCCCAAACGTGAGGAGCTGCCTCTGGGGCGGGTACGGTTGTTGAGATAGATCAAAGCTGAGCAATTTACTATACAATTTTGTTTAGTCTATCAAATATGAAGGGCTGAAGTCTTTTAAAATGATTTCCACGCATAGCGGCTTCTGCAACGTTATGTTCGCCTTCCCCTTCTGTAGTGCACAAGCAATACAATGTGACTCTGGTGTGATCTCTAGTAGCTCAGTGACCTTAAAGAGAATGGCTATCACATAAGATACTAAGAAATGGAGTTGGTACTGCTATATGTTCTAAGAATAGAGCACCGTAGGTGGAGCCATAGGTTAGTAGGATAACCCCCGCCAGTAGCCAGTATCGGCAGTGTGGCGTACTACATCGTCACTACTTGGGTACCAGGTAGGCTTCTTTAGTGTTCTAATTGGATAGGACATAGAATTATTACTATATAGAAGTATTATGTGTTTGAATAGGACTCTGGGAGACTGCAGTTATAGGTCAGGCTCCTGACCGTCTCGTCCCTGTTGATATCCCCCCGTCATCTTATAGGTTGGGCACTGACACCCAGCCATGATCGGGGTCGATTCAGAACACAGTTCTATTATTCCAGGGAACTTCCCTCGTTTATAATAGAGACTCGAATATGTTTTGGAAATTTAAGTACCGACCTCGGAGTAATTGGGTAGATAGAGTATGCAGTTAGGAAGCCAGACGCTATGAGACGATAAGCAGGCGCAGCTTAGGACGGCTGCGCACTACATATGGGGGATGCTCCCTGGCCATGATTGGCCAGATAGGACCACATATAGGCCAGGGAGCATTATGTTAGGGAAGCCTCCGCTGCAGCAGCGGAGCAGACAGTCTCAGTAATCACGACGGACCCAATGTTATCAGAGGGGGAGTCCCCTTGGCCAAGTGCCATTTTGCAGCATACCCTATTTGATGCATGGATGGCCTCAGAAGGCGATAGAGCAACACCCCAACCTATCCTAGAGATATTGAGGGAATACCGTCCGGTCTCCCCCGACACATTACCCGCCGGATTATCACCGAGACGGCCTTACGACCATAGGATCCTGTTGGTGTCGGGGAAGCTGCCCACCAAGCCCGTCATTTATCGCATGCCCCCCGAGCAACTCCAAGCATATAAGCAGGAGATTGCCAAACTCCAAACCCCAGCTATAAAATGTACAACGGATGGATAGGTCTCACCTACGCTCCTATCTGTGCACCTACAATTATGGTGGAGAGGACGGAAAGGTGAACGCAAGAGCAATTCCCTGTCTAATTAAAACGTAAAGGGTTTGCAGGTTTTGTTACTGCTTTATATCTGGAATTCCTTGATAAACAGGCTTGCGGGTCAACATGTGTATGCGCGGCCGTCCTAGGTTGTGCCTACTGAGCCGTCACGTAGTACCCATCTCCCAAAGTATAACCCTTAACTACCAAGATCCCCCGAAGCCTATGCTGCTGATACCAAACCATTTTAGAGTGTCTGCAATAATAATGCGGGTTCGTAGAGTAAAGGAACTGTGTTCCGAATTGACCCCGGTTCTGGCTGGCTGAGAGTGCCCAACCTACAGGATGGCGGGGGAGATATCAACAGTAGCGGAACGGTCAGGATCCTTACCTAGAATTCCACCAAAGTCGTTATTATAGACATAATACATCTATATACAGTAATAATTCTATCACCTATACAATTAGATCTCCAAAGAAGCCTACCTGGTACCCGAGTGGTGGAGTGGCTGCCGGCGGGGTAATCCTACTAACCTATGGCTCTATCTATGGTACTCGATTCTTAGAACCTCTAGCACTAATAATTCCTTCTCCTAGTTTTCAATGTGATAATCCTTCTTTTTATGGCCACTAAGCTGCTAGAAACCTTACCAGAGCCCTATTGTAGTGCCTGTGCACTACAACATGTGTCGGCTACCGAGCGCTTGGGCATGCAAGGCCGGAGGGCGACTGGCGTTACTTCACTGCACAAACGACACAGAAAGGCACTATACGCCACTTCCTAACATCGTAGTGTTGTTCCATTTTTTGCCCTGGGGGTAACATGGAGGCGAATTTAATTGCCAATTGTGCCGATGAATTTTATGTTACGCAATGCTCTACTGGCGCTATGTTCAATGCATGCGCTTCTACTGCAGAGCACGTCAGCTACTGAAGAATTATGCAGATTGTTTGCGCATGTATCAAACGGGGGCTTGAAACCGTTTGCAAGTCAGGGCTTGCAGTTGGGGTCGTCGAGAAAATTCGCAATCGTAGCAGAACGAACTGCTATAAGTTGTGACGGTGTCAAAATAACTATGTTAACACGTAGTCAGAAGTATGTGACCTACCTTCCATGCTCCATGTGTCCTGGGCGTTTCTCTAGCGTGACCTGTCTGAAGTTGGTATGTACTCTCCTTGAGCCCAAGTGGCCGCTCAGGGGCAAGCAAATGCTTATCAATTACTTCAACTGTTAATGCACATGCATTGAGAGTGGGGTCGTTAGTGGATATATGCATTGCCAACCCCTTGCGGCGGGAATAGCACCAAGATAAACTGGAGATTGTATTTTAGGCCACCGCGTGTGTGAACCAGCCGACCCTTGTCTTACTGCACTTACAGACATCGTGCTCCGGGCGCGGGGATAGTGGAGGTCAGGGCTGCTATGGGAGGACACTTTGAAGGAGCTTTTGGATGACACGGTGACCCTCCTCCTTTAGAACGGCTCGCCTTTCGTAGTTTTCTTGCAGGAGGCAATACGGACACAAATATAGATATGTCTACCTGCTTGTGATAAATCGTACGAAATTTGGTCCCCGTTGCTCACCAGACAGCAGGCACTTCAGCAACCTTTCAAGCAAACGCAAATGCCAATTTGCAACACCTATTGGGGCAGGGGGTCACTCCGTCCCTCGACGAAAACTTGATAGCTGGTGTTTGGAGTTGGGAGCAAAAAGGTTTACAAGGGGAACGCGAGGGAGCTCCAACTCCTACGACACGCCCGGATGTCGAGGCAGCAGTCTTTAAGCGTCTGAATAATCCCATAGTGCTACTAACGTGTGTGTGAGTCTTGGTGTTGTATTAGTTCATTAGTGTGTCATGCAACTTTAGATGTGGGAGCGGAAGGGCGACCGCCTCCTCTGGCTCGCCTCGTGCCATTATCTGTCATGTGAACCCCCCAAATACAATGGCTCTGGCGGATACAGTCAGTGCTAATTTGGCGTTGTACAAACAACGCTGTACTCTCATTGAGTCCCAGATCGTGTGTAAGCACTCGTTTGTTTTCCTTTTCTGTACACCCTATTCTGGTTTATAGTCCTGCTCTACCTACCCATGCTGATCTTCTTCGGCAAGTGCCGGATATCATACTTCGGAAACAGTTTTATCCTAAATTTAGTAAATGCAAGTTCGCTAGACAAGAACTTACGTATTTAGGATATACGTTCAGTGCGGATGGAATACAGCCGGCCGCTGACAAAGTTTCCTTCTCGGCAGATTCTCTCCACAGTTGGCAGAAGAATAAATACTCCCCCTTAGTTGCCAACCTTCACTCAAGTACGAGGCCTGGCAAGCATTATTCTTCAATAGGTTTCCTTCAGCGGTAGTGGAGGGAGCACATATCACCTGGTTGCTCTTGCATGTGGGGCCGTGTTGCTGCATGGGCCATAACGGGGTAAGTCGCCACTCTTAACGGGCCACCTCCTCTCCCGCAGCTACAGGTGATTGAGCAGCTACGTGCAGGGCGCCTGCTGCCCGGAGATGGAAACGACCTCAGTCGACAATGCTTCCGCCTACCGTATTTGGCTTCCATTGCAACTCGAACTACTCGTATATATCAAAGTTCCTTGTAACACCCGTGGTATAGTGATCACATACAGCCTCGACGAACAGTGTATCTGATACATTTGGGTAGGCCTTCTATATCTAATTTAGTGTTCGTTCCTCCTAGTACAGGACGACGCGACGCGTACCCGTTCCGCTACACACTGTTGAATTCGTTTGCTAGTGTTAACAGGGTTTAAGAACATCCACTAAGTGAGGGTACATGCTTCGACTCTTCTGTTCATGTTTGTTGCTGTAGTTGCTAAAACGTTGGCTACGGTTCTAGTCTATGGGCCGAAGGCGTTGGGGTTCCCAGAATACTTGAGAGAGAGGGCAGTTGTACTTAAGAAATAAGTAATTTTTGCGCCAAGGCGTCCGAAGCTGGAGAAATTGCAAGACAACCTCACATGCGCAAGCAAGCCTTCTTAGGTGTATACATTAACAGTGCATATCATTGTTGCAAGATCGTGCTTGCGGACGGGCTGTTGAGACCGGCGCAGTAAGCGCTCATGCCCCAATTGCAGGAAGGCGTGCCAGCAGCTGGCAGTCTTTGCGACGCCTTGAGCTTCTCCGAGGACTGCAGGAAGCCAATATGAAGTTGAATTACTTGGGAATACTTTCCGTTCTGTCTCCCGGAGTCCTGGATAAGCAGCCACCGTTGCACGATGTCTTGCGGAGGGGAAGTGAAATGTAATCAACTACCACTTCGAAGCAGCATAACTTACCGACGTAACTGACACCCATTTCACCAACAGTTTGGACAACTAATACACGTTTTCCTGGACTTGGGTACCTAACTTGCACTCAAGCGCTACAGCTTGCGATGCGTAGCAGGCTTTTTTGGACGCGAGTAGACGTATCGGCATTTGTTTTCACCCTGGATATTCAGAACCAATTGTTTGCCATGTGTTAGTAGTGTAAGTGCTTGCTCCAATGGTGTTTTTGCCCATGATTGGATTTGGAGTTGCTAAGTTTCAAAAAGGGTGCAGCACCTCCGTAAGCACGGGAAGTAACGCAAATACAACCAGGTGCACCATAG